TTAGAAATGCATATAGTAATCAAGAAGTTTAATGAAAACCGTCGGGACTCGCGAAAGCGACCAATTTCATACAAAGGAAAAAAGAAAAACAAAAATAATAATAATGCAAAAAAAAAAAAAAAAAGAAAGACGACGATAGCTCTTTCGTGGACATATATATTTTTTCTTTTTTTACCGTGAAAATTTAGTCATTTGTCAGTGAAACAAATGTGAAATAATTATATCATCAATTTCAAGAGATAAGGGATGATAAAAATTTGACATTAGAAAAAAAAAGAAATGAAAAAATAAAAAAGAGACGGGTATATTTTAATATATATATATATATTAAAAATATATGTGTATATTTTATATATTTATGTAAAATTACAAACAAAACAAAAAAATGTATCTATATATAAAATTGTTATAAAATGTAAAAGAAGATAAAGGATTTTAGTTACGATGAGTAAAAAAAGAAAAAAGGGATTCGAAAAGGGTTTCAAAGTGAACCAAGTGTTCGAATGACCCTTCAAAAGTGTGATATATATTTACAGAGGTACATCGATTTTAAATTCGATATTCCACGTAAAACCGTACGTTTGGTTCAACAATTTCTCTCTTTCTCTTTCTCTCTCTCTCTCTCTCTCTCTCTCTCTTTCTCTCTCTCTCTCCATCACTCTTTCTCTTTCTCTTTTTCTCAATTTCCACGAAATTCGTAAAACAGAATGACAGAATTGTAGTATCGGATGAAAAGGAGCACTTTCAACGATCGTTGGGTTTTCCATTCGCACATTTTTTAATATTCGAAGTTCCACATTCCTCGGTGAGAAGCGAAAATAGAAAGTATGAAAAATAACATGGAAGGGAATGTTCTTCCTATCACTAATTAAACTTTCAAACGTAATGCTACATAATTATATACTCTAAAATGCAATTTCTCCTTATGTACCTTAACGCATAATTATACAGTATATATATATACATATACATATATATATATATAATACGCACATCATCCGCGGATTTACGAAAACGAAATATTTACGAGTTAAAAGCAAAAAAAGACGGGGGGGGGGCGGTGGAGGAAAAAAAGAGAAACAAAAAGAAGTAGAAAAAAGAAAAAACGAAGTGAATAATTCGACGGAAGAACGTGCACGTGTTTTTTTTTTTTTTTTTTTAACTATCAAAGAAGATGAGAGACGAATTTCGCAATCAAAGAATAAAGAAAAAAAAAAAAAAAAAGAAAAAGAAAATAATAAAATAAAAGAAAAATAGACCGAAAACCAAAGCGAAAAGTGAAAAAGAAAAAAAAAAAAAGAAAAAAAAAAAAGAAAAAGTATATCGTAGAAGGGTCGTCCCGTTCTCTCTTACCAGTCACCAATCTCCCACTAAGGATCATCCATCCCTCTCACCCTCTTTACTAACCACCCTGCCCCTTCTTTTTCATTCCCCTTCAAACCTCTTTATCAAGAAGCCGCAGGGCTTGGTATGAAGCGACGAGTACACTTACAATCTCCAATAGGATAGGCCATCGAGGAGGAGATCCGTGAAGAAGAAGAAGAAGAAGAAGATGAAGAAGAAGATGAAGGTGAGGAAGAAGAAGAAGAAGAAGAAGAAGGTAAAAGAGGAGGAGGTGGAGGTGGTGGAGCTCGTGGTTGGTTTCTCTGTACGGGATGGATCTCGTGATAAGCTGCCCTCGCGTCTTGATAACCATTCTGCCGATGTTCCCGATAAGCACGCTGTACGGCATACGCCCCTGAGAAGATCCTGGTGTACCTTAGATAGCAACCGCTTGGTATCTGCCACTGCAAATCGAATTATTTCTTTCACGAGCTTCTTACTTTCTATATATATATATCTTTCTCTTTTTCTCTCTCATTCCCTCTCTCTCTCTCTCTCTCTCTCTCACTCTCTCTTTCTCTGTCTTTTTCGTTCTAATAAAGTGAGTAGACTCTCATAAAAAGATAGAGACAAAGATAGAAGGTGATAAAGAGAGAGAGAGAGAGAGAGAGAGAGAGAGAGAGAAAGAGAGGGGAAAAAAAGATTGTGTGACATGAAAACTCACCCCATAAGCGGAAGTCGGCATCGGTTGGGGTGGTCTTCCAGGACACATCAACATTCTCCTCCGGTAGATTCTTGGCTAAACGACGAAATAAGTGCGAACGTAAGATCTTCTAATATATATATATATATATTTTTTTTTTTTTTTTAATGGAATTGAGCGTGAACGAAAGAGGACGGAGAAAAGATGTCAGGTAATAATAGAAGTAACGACGGAGAGATATTTATCGAACGTTTTTTTTTTCTCTCCTTTTTTTCCCTTTTTTTTTTTTATTCTTCACAGTTAATTATTTCATATATCGAATATCAAATATCTTTCATGTATCAGATTACAAATATCTTTTCGTGGGATAAATTTTTTCTTCTCTTCTTTTCTTTTCTTTTTTCTTTTTTTTTTCTTTTTTTTTTTCTTTTTTTTTTTCTTCTCTCTTCCTCTTGCGTCGTAGATATGATGGACGACATTTTAATTACGACGATTTTACTACATATCGAATGATTCTTTTACACGATGTTAGACGAATATTATAAGAAAAATATTTATAGTACGATTTTATAAGAACGAATAATGATTGTATTTAATATCTAATTTTTTTTCTTTTCTTTTTTCTTTTTTTTTTTTGTCAAGATAATTCGACAAGGATGGGTATATATATATACTTTTAAATGTCGAATGATTTTATATAAGCGACGAACATTTTTTTATAGACAATTTAATTTTCTTTTTCTTCTTCTTTTTGTCTCAGATATAATAAAACAATAACGAAGAGATACATATTTAAATGGATTTTATATATATATATATATATATATATATATATATATATATATATCGTATAATTTAATATAAGAAAGAATACTTTTCAGTTTGATATTATTCAAGAGAATTTTATACCGGGCGATTTCATACATCGAATACTTCAACGATTTCGCACCGTTGTACCGTATCTGTTTTCTTTCGTGGAAAAATTCTGGATACCCATTTTGATATCCATTCGATGTCTTTTCTTATACGAAAAGACAAGCGAAGTTTGTGTACGTACAACCTCTTGAATTCTTTCAACCGGGATATCGTCCGAGTATGTAACTATAGGAAGCGAATTGACAGGCCGATAAAAATGTCTCTATACTTTTTCATTTTTCCACTAGGATTTTCGTATTTTCTGCTATAACATTGCAGTTGCCGTTTGCCGTTACCGTTTCTGCTTCGAACTTTTGACTTTTCATACTCCCGTAGACCAAAAATGTCTACGATATAGTCATATATGAATTTACACGGAATTCCGGCTACAAGCCAAACTGAACTAAACTAGTTTCGAATAATGATACCGAGAAATAGTTATGCGAAAACTTTCGTTTCAGAAGAGAACGATCAAAGTGTATTAATAATTTATTCTCGAGTTATTGTACTCTCATTTCTATATCGCGATTTTGTGAATAATTATTTTTCTTTTTTTCTTTTCGATTTCTTTTTTTTTTTTTTTTTTTTTTTGTTTGTTTTTCTCAGTTTAGTTCAATATAACATTATTCGTTTTAATAAATAACGATAATAATAATACTAGTAATAATAATAATAAAAATAATAATAATATTTAATGTAATAAATTTTATATACACGAATTATTCATTAAATTTTGAACGAGTAAAGTGAATACGTTTAAATAAAGAGAAAAGAAATAAACGAAATAACAAAAGAACAAAAAGAAATAACAAAAAAAAAAAAAAGGGAATTTTCAAATACATACATACAAACATTGACTTTTGTTTCTTGGAAAGAACGCTTTTCGATATCCGAACAGTTATCGTTGTCCTCGATACGATTTCGATGATTAAAAATTTCTCGAGATAATCCCGATCAGAGTTTTACGACGGAATCGTTGAAGAGAAAAGAAAAAAAAAAAAAAAGAAAAAACATGAAAACAGAAAAAGGAAATAAAGATAGGAAAAACAAAAAGGATAAAAAGTGAAGAGAGAGAGAGACAGAGTTAAGAATCGAGAGAACAAAATGGAATTATGTTTTTACTCGATGAAAGGAGAAAGAAGGAGATAGATACAATCGGGTTCGAGAGACTTTCAAGCTTACGTAAAAGCCATTCGCGATCTTCAATATGTTTTCTTTCAACTCACCTCGGCATCCTGTCGTTGGTCGGATTCTGAAAATTTACGAGAGAAAAAAGACGATAAGTTCGATTAATTTCTCTTAAACGTTCGCCTTAAATATCAAGACGATTTAGAAATTTAGAGAGTATAAGATACTTTTTATATCTTTTTCTTTTTCTCTTTCTCTTTTTATTTTCGATAATCTCCTTGAAAAGTAGCGTTTTTATTTTTAACAAAAATTTTCTTCTCCAATTAATATCTACTCATTGATTAATTAATGTAACATTATAATAAAATGGATAATAGAGAAAAAGTATGATGATGATTGATTTAGATAAAATAATCTTTCAAATGATCGAGATCGATCTATACTTTGTAATTTAACAAATGGATTTAATTTTACCCTGTATATATATATATATATATACGTGATTTGTTCTTGTGTGTGTGTATGTGTGTGTGTGTGTGTTAAGATAGAGAATCGATATTATACGTACGGTCGAAACATAATCGTTCGAAATTAATTAACGAGATTATTGTGAACATTGAATATTCGACGGAACGTGGTTTCATTTAGAATGGATCATTCGATTTCAATGAATATCACATTATACTATTATATCCGTCATCGAATTATTATCTATGTAAGATAAACGTCGACCTTAATTTTTAATTCGAGAATATCCATTAGAATAATGGATTTCCTTAAGCTTTGAACATTTTTTAACAATATATATATATATTTTTTTTTTCTATTTTTAATGCTGAATTAAAACTGATTTTACGCTTGCAAGACCGTAATGCATTTGGTTATAACAGGATTTGTCATCCTGTGACCACGGAAAACGTAAAATATCACTTTAGACTAATTATGTAGATATATATATATACATATTTATATACATATATATATATATATATATATATGTATAATGTATGTATGTATATTATTACGTTTTGGGGGAGCTAACCATTTCGACGATGTTACAAAAATCGATTATACATGTATGATGTGATAAATTTCAAGTACGTAAATTAAAAAAGAAGATGGTCGCAATAACCAACGAAATTATTAATGCAATTTGAAATATTATTGTCATATTTATGTAGACAGTTAAATAAATAAATAAATAAATAAATAAATAAATAAAAAAAAAAAGAACAAGGATAAAGATAAATAGATAAATAAAACATGAAAAAAAAACAATAACAAAAAAAACAAAAACAAAAAAAACAAAAAATAAAGAAAAGAAAAATGTATAAAAGGAAGACGAAAAAAGAAGAAAAGCTACGGTCAGAATTAATTTTCTTCAACGTTGATCATTCGTGATAACATAATGTATAACATTATTGTTTAATGTCGTGTATGTGGGTTCTCCAAGGTCCTATTTACCCTAAACAATTTCGTAACATTTACCCATTGCATAAATTTACCTCGAACGTGTACGGAGAAATGGCATTCGGCCTGATTTCCGGCAGCATCGGAAGCGATGTAGCGTACGTTGTGTACCCCAGGATACATCAGTTGTCCTGGTTCCTATCATGGAAACGCAGAGAGCATTAACTTTTCACGTTATCCGCCTGGTGTGGTTGCTTTGAGATTGAAATATTAGGAGCCTTTAGCGATAACCGCAAAGCCACCTCCTCCATTATCCATGTGGTATACTTCATGATATATAAATTATTTCTCTCTCTCTCTCTCTCTCTCTCTCTCTCTTTCCCCTCTCTCTCTTTCTATCTATCTATCTCTTTATTTATTTCTTTTTTTTCAATTTTTCTTTTACTCCCACTATACGTATTTTTCGTCTTTTCTCGAATTAAAATTTGTTATCTCTTTGAAACCAACAAAAGTTCATACTTATTCTGCAAAATTTTTAACGAATTATTTCAAATCAAATGGCATATTAAAAATCCTGATCATTTCGATTGTTCGGGTAGGGAGAGATGGTGGGGAAGGTATATATAAATCGGTAGTAATTTAATAATGTATTATTTCTGTAATATTTATATATTATAATATTAGATAAAGATTAAAGGAGAAACGATTTTATAATGAATTATTTATATAATATTTAATGTTATTAATTGTAATATATAAAAATCAAATTGAATAATGACATAATTATTAAATGAATTATTTCAAACGCGACATATTTAAAATCGAAATTTTTCTAATGGCTAAACAATAGATTATAAATTAAGTATTATTATTGTAGAGAGAGAGAGAGAGAGAGAGAGAGAGAGAGAGAGAAAAGTACTTACAAAATATAACGTTTGAAATTATTAATTATAACATATAAATATCAGATGTTAAATGTTAAATAATTAATGATTTATCTTATTTTAAACGACTATCCTACTTTTTTTTCCACTTCTATTGATTTTTATATCTCGTCAAATTGTTCTTATAAAATATATCTACATGTTAATCGAGAAAGGTCAGTAACGTTGAATATATTAACGTATGTATCCCCATTTAAGATAAAATTCATTCAATTTATACTATTTCAATTTTTAAATATAGATTTAATCGAATATGATTATCTAGCAATCGTCTTAAGATTAATTTTGTCAGGACATATGTACGAAATTAGATGTTCGATCTATTAATCATATAATTTTTTCAATGCTTTCTGAAATAATATCTTTACGTTTGGACGACGATGTGAAAGGTATCAATTTTGGAATAGTATTATTATTTTTATCTCGACCTCTCAATTTCTACGATACCGTATATATAAATATATATGATTTACATAAATATATATGATTTACATATTGTTTACAGAAAGGTTAATGAACAGTACGAGTGAAACGTGAAGCAATCATCGTTAGATGAGTGAATTAAATTAGATGAATTCTCTAAATGAGTGAGAGAGAGAAAGAGAGAGAGAGAGAGATAGTAAATCGATGAAACTAATCGTGAGAGAAAATTTTCAACTTAAGGCACTTTTGAACGAGGCAAGATAAAAAGAAGGATTGAAGGAGAAAATATAAAAAAAAAAAAAAAAAGAAAAAAAAAACAAAAATAAAAATAAACGAAAAAAAATTAGGAATAAGAAAATAAGAAGAAGAAACAAAGGGTGGGTGGAGGTGGGGGGAAAAAAAAGAGTGAGAGGATAAAGAACTCCGCAGGATTTTATTTTTTTGTCCCCTACCACCCTTCCACCCTTCTGTTAATCTCAGCTCTCTATCTTAAGTCTCTCTCTGTCTCTGTCTCTCTCTCTCTCTCTCTCATTTTCCTTTTTTTCCTTTTTTTTTCTGCTCTATCTTTTCGGTATCTTCGAAAATGCCCTTCGAGTAATTAATGAACGAAATCTCGAAGAACTGGGAGATAAGCGCGCGAGATTGGTAAGTTCGATCGTTAAGCGAGACTTTTAATAAAGCTCTCGTTTCTCCCTACCTCTTTACTACCCCTACCCACTACTGCCCCGCCCCCCTCACCTTCTCTCCTTAAAAAAAAAAAAAGAGAAAAAAGAAAGAAGAAGAAGAGTAGTGAATGGAAGGGGAAAGGGTTGAAATAAAGAAGAGAAGTGGAACCGCTTGTTAAGGTTTCGTACTAACGTCCTTTAAACGCTCGTCTTCGTAATAAAACTCTGGGACAGAGAATGAGAGAGAGAGAGAGAGAGAGAGAGAGAGAGAGAGGGAGAGATGGAGAAGATGAGCTTTTCTTGCCGCAAGCTTGTAAACTCTTTAACAGAAAGGGAGATACATTTCTTTCGTTCTTTTCTTTTTCTTTTTTGTTTTTTTTTTCCTTTTTCTCCCACTTAGATAATCTATTATCTGGAATTTTAATTTTTACCTTTCATTTTCATTTCGTATTATACATTATATATCATCTATCTTTACGATATATAAATTTCTTTGATCTTATTACGAACTGTTATAACGTCATTATAATATATAAGAAAAAATAGTAATTTTTATATGTATGTATATATATAAATATTACTAATTATATGTATATATATATATTTTTTTTTATATATATATATAAAAAATAATATAACTGAGTATGATATAATTTCTTAAAAAGAAAATAATCATGTAATTCTATTAATATTAAATAATTTTACCATACGATTTAATGTATATTATATATTATAATAAAATATCTGCTTTGATATGAGTAATAATATAGTCGTATAAGATATAATTTCTTAAAAAGAGAATAATTATGTAATTCTATTATTATTAAAAAAAATTTTTTTCTTTCTTTTTTCTTTTTTTTTTTTTTTTGTATAATTTCCTGTATTATTACGTATAATAATTTTTGTTTTTTCTATCATTTCCTCATTCTCTCTCTCTCTCTCTCTCTATCTCTATCCATCTATCTCTCTATCTATTTTCCTCTTTATTCCTCTCAAAAAAGCAATGCTGTTTTACTCACCCTCGTTTTGTAAATTCGCTCGACTCCGACGTTGTCGGTGAACGTAGGTTCCTGCCAGAATATCAAACGGTTTGGCTCGCCTGGACTTAAGCGCACTTCAAAGGATGTCGGGCAGGTCGAAACTTTAGGATTCTCAGTGTCTGAAAATCAGAGTAAACGTAATGTGAGAGATACATAGATACCTAGATACATTACATACTTATCCAAATGTTAATATGTACAATATAATCTATATCTTCATATAATATTTAATCGTACGTAGATGTTGTACATATGTTTTGAGATAAAAAGGAAAAAGAAAAAAAAAAAGAAAACAAATATTATTTCAATCAGAAAATCGATATTAAATGATTTTCATTTATTTCAATAGAAAAGATAGAAAGAAATATATCATTCGGTTTCGTTAAACGTTTAGATTGAAAAAAAAGAAAGAAAGAAAAAAAATTAAAAATTTAGAAAACATCACGTTCATCGAAATGGAAAAACATTAAAGAGGAAACGAAAGAAAAATTTAATTTTTTTTTTTGTTTTTCTTTTAAGATTTTCTAAGGAATAAAATTTGTGATCGAACGTAATTTATTGATTACATCAGTCAATTTCTCGATAAATATACATGAACGTAAAGATACACGGACACACACAAAAACGAAGTTACGCGCGCCATATAGTTCTTTTTACTTTCCGTTTAAAATTCTTTCTCGACAACAACGATGAAAGACCATAACGATAAACATTAACCGCAACGAGTCTCTTAAGAAACCAACGAGTACGCTGGCTTTTTCTTTAACGAGATTAGTAAACCGAAAACTCTTTGCGGTGAAAAGAGTCGAATAATATGAAGATGGCCATTAAAAAATGATCATGAAAATTTCACTATTACTTACTTTCTTGAATATAATTTATCTTTTCGTTTTATTTATTAAACAAGAAATAAATAGTTATTTATATTTTATAATAAAATATATCCAGAAATCGAATTAGACATTTTAAATATATGTACGTAACACATATTTTTACAATATATATATATATATATATACACATACACACACATGTATCTATAAATCATATAAAGTCTACGTATTTGTGTAAAAAAAAAATAAATAAATTTCAATACAAATATTTTTTTTTTAATTATCCTCCACCCGCGTGATACATAATTTTACAATAAATATGTATCCACAAATCGTATAAAATCTATGTGTATTTGCATATGAGTGTGTGTGTGTGTGTGTGTGAAAAGAAAAAGAATTTCCATAGAAATTTTTCATCATTATCTTCCACAGGCATGTTATATAATTTTACAATAAATACGTATCTATAAATCATAGAAAATCTATCTCAAGAAAGAAAAATTTAAATAAAAAAATCATAACACAAAAAATTATCCTAATTCTATTCATCGTCTATTCATCATCTATTCATCTTTAGATAAATAATTGCAAGCTATTATAATCTATTTACCTTAACTTGTTTATCATATTCGTGCCCTTTGAACTTTCTCGTCATTCTTACCTTACAATTTCATATTATCATACAATCCACCGCCCCCCCCCCCCCCCCAGGAAAACTATGTTAAGTTAAATAAACAGTCCTTAAGGGATACGTCAATGATGATTAAGAAAAAAAAAAAGAAAAAAAAACAGAAAAAAAAAAATTAAAAAATTGATATAAAACGAATCAATAATATATAAACACGTATCATTTTATTTTTCTTTTTTTTTCTTTTTCTTATTTTTTTTTTTTTTTTTTTTGTCAAAACGATGAACCGATTGGCCTTTGAAAACTTTTTCGAAAACTTTTGGAATGACTAATTAAACGGAGTTTTGATGATGAGGTATAGTTTATCAAAAGGAACCCGTAAAGTTCAACGTTTGTATATACAAACGTAACAATCGATTGGCACGATTGACCGATCTTCTTTCTTCATCTCTATCATCTTAAATAAAGTAGAAGAGGGGATGAACAGCATCGGTCCACTCCTAACGCAAGAAAGGAGAAAAAGTTTTCTTTGAAGGCGTATCGAATCTACCCTTCATCCCCTACCAATCCACCAATCCTCTCATCCCCTTCACTCCCACAATCTTCCTATACCCTTCATTCCCCAAACCACCTAATACTCTCATTTCATCTTCCTTCCACTAAAGTTTCAACCACAATCAAACCACTCCCCACTATTCTTTATTAACGATGCGACGACTACTACGAAAGACGAACTTCTTTCATCGCAGGATATCGCGCTTGAGTGGGTTTCCTCTTCGAACGTTTCACGATCTACAATCGGTTAAATTCAACGTTTAATATCTTTCTTATCTTACGTTAAATTCGTTTACGATCGTTATCAACTTTTTTCGATGATTCGTAGATCGATATTATCGAATCGATTATTTCTTCTTCTTCTTCTTCTTCTTCCTCTTTTTCTTTTTCTTTTTCTTTTTCTTTTTCTTCTGCTTCAACTTCCTCCATCTCACGTTTTAGTTTTATTCCTTTATTTTCTCCATTTCTTTTTCTTTTTTTTTTTCTTTTTTTTTTTTTCTTTTGGCTACTTTTTCTTTTTTCCTTTTTACTCCGTTTAACTTTCGTCGTATGTTCGTCGTAGTTTTAAATGTCGAATAGTATATATTATTTATAATGATCGTTAACTATTACGAGATTAATTTTAATTAATATTCCTTTCTTTCTTTTTTTTTTTTCTTAATTATTTCTCTTTCTTTTGGAATAGTAAGATGATATTAAAGTACTGTATATATATATATATATATATATATATATATATATATATAAAATAATGATTTTGATAATCGATCATCGATTAAGAAAACAAATCAATCTCGTATTATTAATAACATGACTATGTCTATGACTATGATTTTTATTTTCTTTTCTTTTTCTTTTTATTCTTTTTTTTCCATAGCACAACGAAATCAATATTTTTGAAGTATTAAAAAAGTCATAAAAAATCAGTATTCAATATTCTAATAATTAATCATCAAACAATAGATCAAATAAATCGTTAACAAAGATTTATTTATTGTTCGTTCATTTAAAGTTCACCTTTAACAAATAACTGAACCATATACATATATATATATATATATATAACAGAATAATAACAATATTTTTAATCCATTAAAAAAGTCATAAAAAAAGTATCCAATGGTAATCGGACAATTAATTAAATCATCGTTAAATACAATGGAGATCATGTAACTAGATGTCTATCTTATTACGACGATTTATATATATCCTTGAAAAATTTTTACGTTCAACGTGACCATTTATATCTTATCAAAATATATGAGGAACAATGAGAGAAAGGATATAGATCAATGATTAAAGAGAAAAAGAAGAAGTCATTCTGTCATTTTATTAGAGAGATTGAGACAAAGACAGAGAGACATAAAGAGAGAGAGAGGAAGAGAGAGACAGAGAGAGAGAGACAGAGAGAGAGACAGAGAGATCTATTGCTTCTCTTGGAAACTGAACTTGTTGGCCCGGCATAGACGAGACACTATCACCGTACATGTGAATATATAAGAGACACATAAAACGTAAGCACGTGGAAAAGAGATAGATCAAGAGCGGGAGAAAGAGGAAGATAGATAGAAAGACAGACAGAGACAGAGAGAGAGAGAGAGAGAGAGAGAATCTCTACATTAGATTTATGCGATGAAAAACGCGGAAACGTAGAGGACTGGTGGATATGCATGCTTCACGTCGCGACGGGTTACACGAACCGGAAGCATCGGACAGTGATGCTGTGTATTATCTCGATGGCAATGTGGATCGATCGTAAATCCGACACCAGTATGTACGCGAAATAATGCATAATAAACGGCCTTTCTTTCATACCATCATAATAACTCCGTTCATTTATTTTTCTCATTTTATTTGCGCCAATAAAAAAAAAAAATTTTGTTCCCTCTCTCTCTCTCTCTCTCTCTCTCTTTCTCTTTCGCTTTTTTCTTTTAATCTTTTATTTAATTTTTTCCTTTTTTTTTCCTCCCCCCCCCACACTCCACTCCACTCCACTAAATAAAAAATATCGATCCCAATGTCCATTGAAAAGAATTAAAAAGGAGAGGAAAAAATGATCGATCGTTATCTATTATTTTGTTCGAATCGCACGCGAGTTGGAACAAATTTTTAATCGCCAACGCAAAATTCTTTGTCCATATTATTATTTTCCATTTTTCTTCTCTCCTCTTTTTTTGTTCTCCCCCCCCCTCCCCCTACCCATTCGAATTATATATAAATAAAAAAAAAAAGAAAAAAATAAAATAAGATAAAGTAAAATAAAACAAAGTCAATAAAAAAAAAAAAAAAAAAGAAAAAAAAAAGATAAAGGAAGAGATAAAATAAATAAAAAAAAAAAAAACAAATGTTATGAGTTGTAACAACTACGAAATAAACAACGTAAAATTTATCTCTCTTTTCCAAATATACATACATACATACATACATACATACATACATACATACATATATATATACATATATATATATATATATATTCTTTTTTGGTTCGTTTTGTACCATCGTCGTCGCCATCGTCGTCGTCGTCGTCGTCGTCGTCAACGTCGACGTCGTCAACGTCGTGTAGATGGCCACGTCGGGAAATGAGGAGGAAATGTACGAGTTCAGAGAGAACGAGAGAGCATACGACGTACGGCATATTTATGCGCAGTTCGCCGTCGGTTGGAAGCTATCGCGTTTCTCCGGAGACCTGTATTTCATATTTCGTCCACGCGCGACATATCTAACGACGTGACGTCGTTACATCGAATTTAGGTGACTCTCGATGACAACCACTGCCTCGTCCTTCTATCTTTTTTCATTTTTCTTTTTTTTTTTTTTCCTTTTTTTTCCCCCGTTTTACTTATCGTTCTCATTTTTTTTTTCTTTTATACTGCAAAATTTGAAAGATAAAGCGAAAAAAAAAAAATACAAAAAAAGAAAAGAAAGAAAAAAGATTCGCCATTTTTGCAATTTTCTCATCGAGACATGAAAAAATGTCATCTAAGGACAAATCGAAAATATCTAAATTGTTATTAAAAATTACTTATTTATATTCACGACGTTAACTTAAGATTTTAATCGACTCTCAATGACACAATTGACTTTGTCCTTCTATCTTCTCCTCTATTCTTTTTTTTTTCTTTTTTTTTCTTCCTTTTTCGTTTTGCTTATCGTTCTCATTTTTTTCTTTTATACTGTAAAAAATTTAGAAGATAAAAAGAGAAACCAAAAAAAAAAAAAGATTCATGATTATCGTCAACTTTCGTTTGAGTTGATGATGCCTATACAAAAGCATCGAAGGATTAAAAATATCTAAATGAATTTAAAAATCGATTAATTTGTTTCTCTCCGATTAATTTCGTTCTTTTTTTTTTTCGAATTACAGTAAAAAAATGCATTTCTAGGCTCGTAGTTATGCAATTTGAGAAGAGCAAAAAAAATCTCGAGTCTGAAAAAAATCAATCAGAAAACTTTCGTCATTCCTTCTGCGATTGTGTCTCCCTGTGTGTTTCGTGCCAATGGAAAGTAAAAAAAAGAAAAAAAAAAAAAAGAAAAAAGCCGAAAAAGAAAAGAGAAAAATAAAGTAACACATACGTAAGGATTTAAAGGTTCGATTTTCGTCGGCTACCATCTGACCGATCAATATCTAATCTATTAAATAAGCAATTTTTATTCGATCACGATCTCGATTCTCGATTATACCTTGTCACTTTGAACTTAAGTGGGAGGGGGGGTGGGTGTGGGAGAGGTAGGAGGAAGGGAGGAGAAAAAAGAAATGTACCAACGTATCTATTCGTTCGTGAATTCGTGAATGATACGTATCCTTATTTGTATTCGATAGGTCTTCGAACGAAATGATCGGGCGTGTTACGTGAGAAATGCGATAGTAGATATTTGAGTTAGGTTGAAGCATTTAAACGATTGAAATCGGAATGAATCGAAGAATCATATGACACTTTAGCGATGTCTATCGATATACAAGGTGACTTGAACGTACGAGTCAATGGGGATTTGATACATTCGACGTTGATATATGTAAATACATATATACATAAATTGGTACGTAAGTATATATACATATATATATATATATATACATATATATATATGTATATATATATATATATACAGTTGACAGCTGTGTTCTTTTTTTTTATGTATGTATATATGTATATGGATGTGCATATAGATAGGTATCAATTGTAGTGGTTTCGAAAGGTAGATGATATTTATCCGGGTTAACTCACCTCGAACACGTATGACGATTCTACAAGTGCTCGTATAATTGGACACGGGTGACCAAGCTGTGAATGTGACAACGGTGGTACCTGCTGGTAGATCGGCTTGCAACTGTTTGGCCCATGTGGGTGATGCATCTACGTATCTAAATAATAATAATAATAATAATAATAATAATAATAATAATAATAATAATAATAATAATAATAATAATAATAATAATAATAATGATAACGATCAAAATAACAATAACAATAACAAGAACGAAGAAAAAAAAAAGGGAAAAGAAAGACAAAATGATCGAAATAGATGTAAGTAAAAGTTTAGAAATTGATCGCTCATATAAATCCTATAGATCCGTTATATGGACTCTAATAAATCCATTTAAAATAGAAAGAGACATATCGTATCGTACGATCGACGTGATATCCGTTTGATCGACGCCTCGTTAGCATATAAATGCTCATCGAACGTGATCTTCAGTTGATTGACGCGTAATGCGTCGCGACGCGCCTGGAGATACTAGATAACTCTCTCTCTTTCTCTCTCTCTCTCTCTTCTCTCGTTTCTCTCTTTCTCTCTCGTGTATGTTTCATCCTTCTCGTCGTTAGAAGGGACGATGATGACTACGAGATGGATGACGATGAAGATACGCACGGATTCTCTCGTACACTTGCTTAAGTGCAAATGCACGAACGAGCACGGTTGCTGCCGGATAGATCCTGGCCCCGTGTATCCTCGACAGGAATCCTGTAAGCTCGTTTGGAATTCCCATTGTGGAACTACTACCACTTCTACTACTACTACCCATTACTACTACTATTACTATTAATGCAAAAGCAGCTAGAATAGAACCAATATACTAACTATGTACGTGCGTAGCCGTCCCGCGGCTACCGATTTCTATCTGGGTCAGGAGTTAAATAGTCTTTGTGAAAACTAACGATATATATTAGCTCTGGTAACGTTTAAACGAATCAATTTATACTTATCTATCTTTGATCTTAAACGTACGATCTAAAAATGTAATATCTCTAATTCAATAATAAAAGAAAGTAACGATATTATAATAAACGATTTGATCGTTCTTTCTTTTTCTTTTTTTTGTTTTTCTTGTTTTCTTTTTTATCATTTTTCTTCCTATCTCTCGTTTTATTTTTCCTCATCCATTAAGATAATCTATTATTATTAATAAAATTAAAAATCTTCATATTATTTATATGAATTATTTCATATGGACATCCCAACGTACTAATTCTCGGAGTTATTTGTATTAGGTCTTGCTTTTGTTTTAGAGAAATTCGTAAGGGCGTTAGAAAGCGAGAAAGGAAGTTGTAGGAAGCGAAGAAGCGTAAGTAGGGATACGTGAGTAGTCGTGGTTAGTAAGCTATTTAACAATCTTACTAATGTACACAGTACTTACAATAATAATAATAATAATAATAATATGTAAAAATAATAATAATAATAATAATAATAATAATAATAATAGTAATAATAATAATAATAATAAAAATAATAGTAGTAGTACTAATGCGATAATGGAATATTAATTATAATAATAATAATAATAATAATAAAAGCGATAATGATATTAATCATAGAAATGATGATAATAGTAGGAAAGAGAGTGGAACGTGACAGGTTAAATGTGTATAATTAATGTAAAAAGAGAGAGAGAAAGAGAGAGAAAGAGAGAAATAGATAAAAAGATATATAAGTAAAACGATCGTTCAATAAACTGTAATTTTCGATGGATAGACATGATGAAAGCCTCGCAAATCAGAAATCATCTTACCTCCACCAGTTCATATTAGACTTTGGCTGAGGGAAGGAAACGCGTATCGTATTCTGCCTCGCAGGTAACTCCACGTCCATGTCCTGTGGGCATCTCACAAACGGCCTTGGCATGTCTGTAACGATAGAAGGTGGTCATTAGACCAAAGCAATTTTCCTCCCACGAGGAAAGGCACGTTCTCTATCTCTATCTCTTCCTCTTTCTCCTCCTCCTCCTCCTCCTCCTCCTCCTCCTCATCGTTGTCCGTTCTGACATATAAAATCTCAACTAATTGCGATATAATCGAATGGCTTTTTAAACGAACGAACGAACGGCAAATGTAACCAAATACGTATCAAATCAAAATCATTTTTTTGCTTTTAATGATTCGTAAGATTTTTATAAAGTAACCATGAAATAACTATGACTTCTCAACGTACGAACATTATACCCTATTATATGGACTATTTAAAAGCTATTTAACAAAGAAACCTATTTTAAAGGTTTGACTCTTGAAACGGCACTTTTTTTTTTTTTTTTTTTTAGGATACCAGCCAATTGGCATGCACTCCAACGGCTGGATATAGTGATACGAGTTATAACGTCGTTCGAAGAAATTAAAAACTCCCATTTCTCCAACTACCATTACCATTCGATCGCATAATTTTAACAATTCACATTTTGTTTTATATATCTTCGACCGAATGAAAATGAATATTGAAAGTTGGAAAAAGAAAAAAGAAATTAGAAAAAGAAAAAAAAAAAAAGAAAAAATTAAAAAAACGAAAGAAAAGAAGAAGAAGAAGAAGAAGAAGTAGAAGAAGTAGAAGAAGTAGAAGAAGAAGAAGATGATGAAGAACGGGAACAAAAGTCAACGAGGTGAAAATGAAAGAAAAAAAGAAAAAAAAGGAAGGAAAGACTATAACCTTCCCGTAAGCTCATTAAGATCCAGCGTTAACGTATGGCCTCGTTAGCACACAGTCCTGGCGTTTACAATCCCTACCATAGAGAGAGAGAGAGAGAGAGAGAGAGAGAGAGGGTTCCGTTATTAAAAGCTCTTTAGAACAGGACCACGTTGGACTAATTGAACGTGAACAGTTCGTAATACGATTTTCGTCACGTATAAAAATAATCATCACCGATGACGTAAATCGATCTTTTGTTTTAGAAACGATATCTGTTGAAAGCATACCTCAGCACCGTTAATTATCCCATTACTTTTGATCCATTCTCAAAGTAGAAATTGTGAACTGTGTATTTAGCGGAACGTAGATACCAGATAATCTTGCTAATCTTATCTCTCTCCTTTTTTTTCTTTCCTTTTTTTTTTTTTTTATCGGTAGGTACGGTTGGTTACTTTATACAAGATAGAGGGATAAAGAGATAAAGAGAGAGAGAGAGAGAGAGAGTAAGAGAGAGTAAGAGAGAGTAAGAGAGAGTAAGAGAGAGAGAGAGATATTTATCCATGATATTTCGCAATTTCCTGTTATAACGATGAAGGCCGGTAATCGTATCGTCATTAGAGAGAACACGTGATTACCTAGATCGTAACGAGAATCCACGAGCGAGTATTCACGAAGGCACACTGGTTCTTTTCCGTTCCATCGACCACCGTTAACGCAATATCTCGTGTGAGGTCCCTCCAATTTAAATCCACGTCGGCATCTAATGTGACACCTAGCGCCATGAGGATAATCGGTCGCACCGGAATAATGTCCAGGACATCGGATCTGTTTGATAGATTTTAAACGAATATTAATGATCGTTGTAATTAAATTTAAATTAAATGTTAAACGTTTAGAGTTTACAGTGATTTAATGCTGTTATATTAATCGTTTGACTGCGCGCGGGCGCATATATGCGCCCGACGAAAGGTCACGCCTATGGCGCATATATGCGCCCGACGAAAGATTCCATCGTTTACCATTGTCTCATGCATATGTTCATTACCCAATGATCGCATGCCGCTCGCGCTAAGCGCTTCGGCTTAGAACAACTCGAAGGATTCATTCGCGTATTATTAAAAAGCTCTCTTTCAAAAAAGTGAAATAAAAATGTTCCGATGAAGATAATGGATAATAAATATAAAACAGATACCTCGGCGTGCAAAGGTGGTTCCATGGCGGGACACTTTGATTCCGGTGAGACGCATGTTCTCTCATCCGTAGACAAAACTAAATCGCCGTTGCACGTACAGTAGTAACTTCCTGGCGTGTTAATGCATTCGCCGTTACAACCACCGTTCCGGTTCAAGCATTCGTTTACATCCTGACACTGACTTCTGTTCCTGAAAGCATAGACCCTCTAACATCGTTACTGGTTCCTTGATAATTTCTTGCTCCTTGTCAAGTAGTAATACAGTTCGTTTGATATCATGACGTTTGTTATCTTATTGCCCGTTAACTACTATCCTCCACCGTTATTGATCTTATTCACGAAATATTGATAATAATATACAAAGATATTTATTTGCTTTTTTTAATATATATATATATATATATATATATATATATATATATACTTTTTTTTTTGTAAATACGAAATGTTCGTTATTAAAAAAAAGAAAAAAAAAAAAAAGAAAAAAGAAGAAATAGAAATAAATATAAAAAAAGAAAATGTATAAACAAAACATTGATTGATTAATTAATTAAATGTCACACAACTTGCCTATGATTGAACAGGTAGCCCGATCGACAATTGCACAGGAAGGATCCCACAGTATTAATGCATTCCTGTTCGCATCTACCGTTACGCCATTCGCATTCGTTTATATCTAAATCGATAAAGTTACGAAATTATAATAATACCTGCTTTGTTCCAAATTCTACTTACGAATTCGAATTCGAATTTGAATTCACGATCGGTAATATGTCAGTCAAGCGTTTGCACAAAGGAAAGCACTTTAACTTGCCTACGCATTCGCTTCCTTGTAATCGAAATCCTGGGGTACAGGTACAATGATACGAGCCAGGAGTATTGACGCATCTCTCTCTGCACGGTGAATCCTCAGCGCATTCGTCGATATCTATTAGAGAACGGTTTATAATTAAAAATCAAACGATAATTCAGATTATTTAATTGACTTGAGATCTTTCTTATATTCGAAACGAAAGAGAAAGAGAGAGAGAGAGAGAGAGAGAGAGAGAGAGAGAAAAGAAGAAAAAAGAAAAAGAAAAGAAACAATGATTTATTATTTCGTTAAAAGTTTTTAACACGAACCTACACAAGTGTCACCCTCCGATCGATAACCTTCGTCGCATTCGCAACGATAACTGCCCAAGGTGTTGACGCATCGATTCATCTTGCAAATTCCTGATGCACATTCGTCGATATCTATCCAAACGAGATTTTTTCTTTTTAAACATTTGATATATAGCATTAAAAAAAAAGACTTTGTTACTATATGGTGCTCCGACGATACGCATTATGAAAATTTTTTAACAAAATAAAAGTTCTTTTCAACCTGAAACTTCGAAAATTATTCGATCCCCGTCAAAGAGTTTGTCACTCTCTTTTAGTAGGTTAACTCGAAGTAAATAAAATTACGATAAAGACGTGTTTACTTCGAAAACAAAATTGACCTGTCTCTGTATTTTTACAAGTCACTTTCGTTGAGACAGTCTGTATATATATATATATATATATGTATGTGTGTGTGAGTATGTAAAATACTTCATGAATAATATTATATTTCAGAAGTGAGTAGGATATGTTCATAACTATAAATTCATCTTGAAGATGGATCGTTATAAATACGTGGCCACAATAGCTATTCAAAGAATATATATACTTAGATACATATGTGAATATATATATATATATATATATATATATATATATATATATATGTATATCGGCAAAACTCACCTATACAAGTAGAGTTCAGCATTTGATATCCTTCCCAGCATCCACACTTGTAAGATCCAACAGTATTAATGCAAGTATGCTCGCACCCATGCCGACCATAGCATTCATCCACATCGTGACACATCGAGCTGTTGGACTTGTCATACTGAAATCCCTCCTTGCAAGTGCATATCACCATACCGCCTTCGGCATTGCATATCTGCTCGCAACCACCATTATCGATCATGCAAGGGTTTGAATGATAGCAGGTCTTATTCTTGATCTCGTATCCTCTGGGACAATCGCAACGGAAAGAGCCCGGTCTATTGATGCAAGCGTGAGAACATCCACCGTTATCCACTTCGCATTCGTTCACGTCTACGCAAGTTTTAGCATCGTCAGCCAATCGATAACCATTAGAACAATCACACCTGTAGCTACCCTTAGTGTTTAAACAGATGTCCATACAAGAACCATTTTCTATTTCGCACTCGTTTACATCGATACAATTTTTAAAGTCAATGTCATCGAGTTGATGACCGTCCGGACAACGACAAGAGAATGTACCTTCGAGATTAATGCAAACGTCCGAACAACCGCCATTCTCAGTGGCACATTCGTCTATATCAAGACACGTTTTCCCATCGTTATCAAGCCGAAGACCAACTGGACAACTACAACGAACGCCACCAATGATATTGAAACAGGCATGAGTACAGCCGCCATTTTCTATTTGACATTCGTCGATGTCTATGCAACTTCGAGAATCGTTAGAAAGAATATGACCATTCGGGCATTGACATTCGAACGAGCCCGGAGTATTGATACAATTGTTCGGACAATCAGCTATTTTCTTCTCGCATTCGTCAATATCCAAGCAATTCTTTTCATCTTGACCAAGCTCGTAACCCTCGGGACAACTACAGAAATGACCTCCGATCGTATTTGTGCATATATGTGAACAACCACCGTTTCCTTCGAGACACTCGTTGATGTCCAAACAAGAGGATCTGTCGCTATGTAGATAATGTCCCTCGTAACAAGTACATATGTAACTACCAAGTAGATTCAAACAGTCATGTGTGCAATTGTGTTCGCTTGTAAGGCACTCATTTACGTCGACGCAACTCTTCTTGTCCTGCGGCATGAGAATATATCCGGTTGGGCACTCACAATGATATCCCCCCTCGGTGTTAACGCACGAATGAGAACAGCCAGAGTCCACGTCGTTCTCGAATTCCTCGCATTCATCGATGTCCTCGCAAGTACGATGATCGTGTTTCAATCTGAATCCCAATGGGCAAGAACAACGAGTCTTGCCGGTACTCTCGTCATGGTGACAATGATGAGAACAATTTCCATTGTCGCGTTTACAACCATCGATCAAAATGCACGTCCTATTATCCGAATCAAGATCGTAACCAGTTGGACAACCACATCTATATGAACCAACGACGTTGAAACAGGAATGAGAACAGTTACCATTTTTTTCTTGACACTCGTCTATGTCGTCGCAGAAAGTTAATTCGTCAGGATTCAGGCGATAACCCTCGTAACATTCGCAAGTGAATGTACCTAAGACGTTCGTACACCTTTGAGTACAATTGTCTTTAAATTCTGAACACTCGTCTATGTCAAAACAGGTTACATTGTCGTTCATGGACAAACGAAATCCTGTGGTACAGTCGCACGTTACTGTACCGTTTAACGAGTAACAAATGTCGGAACAACCGCCATTCTCAATGAGACATTTGTCCTGGTGCGTGCAAAATTTCATATCCACGTCATCCAGAATCATATCTTCTGGACAAGAACAGGACACATTACCGTTCTCGTATTGACAAAAATGCGAACATCCACCGTTATCGATCAAACACTCGTCGATCTCCACGCACGTTTTTCTATCGTCCTCGAGTAATTTGTAATTGTCGGGACAGGCACACTCGTAGTCACCATCGGTATTAGCGCAAAAATGAGAACACCCACCGTTTTCTTCGACGCACTCGTTCGTATCCTCGCAGGTTCTCTTATCTCTTCCAATTTGATATCCCTTAGGACAACTACATTCGAAACTACCGATCGTATTGACGCAATCGTGAGAGCAAGGCTCGCTTATCTCGTTATTCGTTTCCGAACATTCGTTTACGTCGACGCAAGTTTTATTGTCCAACGACAATTTGTATCCGAGGTGACACGCACACTTGAAACCGTATGATTCGCTGATACACTCGTGCGAACAACCGTGATGAATCTCACAGTGGTCGATCTTTTTACAGGTCCAACCGTCCGGTTCCAACGTGAAATCGTTAGGACACTCGCACGTATATCCATTACGAATGTTTACGCAAATATGACTACAGTTGTGTCTACCGGCGCACTCGTCCAAATCCGTACAAGTTTTTTTATCCTTGTCCAAGGTGAAATCTTCGGGACAATAACATATATAACTGCCATCGAGATTCTCGCACTCGTGAGAACAATCGTGAAGATTCGTCGAGCATTCGTCTATATCCTTACAGGTTCGTTGATCCTCGGTTAATTCGTATCCATCGAGACAGCTACAAATGAAACTACCTTCGGTGTTGTTACAATGTTGCGAGCACAGTGTATTACTTTCTAGGAAACATTCGTCGATGTCGATACATGTTCTTTCGTCGGTCGATAATTTGTATCCCGTTGGGCACTCGCAGTAATAAGCGCCTTCGATGTTTTGGCAAATATTCGAACATGCGTGTGATCCTTCAATACACTCGTCTATGTCTCTACAGATTTTACCATTCTCCAAAAGATCGAATCCTTCGGGGCAACCACATCGAATCTCTCCATTCTCTTCGTGTTCGCACGTGTGAGAACAGCCATGATCACTGGCGCAGGGGTCAACGATCCTACACGTACGTTCGTTTTCATCGAGTTTCCAACCGATAGGACAGGTACAGTTGTACGTACCAATCGTGTTTACGCATTCGTGAGAGCAATTGTGTTTGAACTCGTTATTCCGACACTCGTCTATGTCGACGCATACACGTTCTTCCTCCGAATAAAAATAACCCATTGGACAAGCGCAATTATATTTTCCCTCGAGATTTATACAAAGATTTTCGCAATCGTGCTCGCCATTCTCGCATTCGTTAACGTCTATACAAGTACTATTGTCCTGGTCGAGTTGATATCCTTTTGGACAATGGCACTCGTAAGAACCATCGACGTTCTTACAAATATGACTACAGTTATTTCTATTGTTGTCCGTACACTCGTCCATGTCCTCGCATATGGTACCACTTTCGTCGATTTTATAACCAAGAGGACATTCGCATTTGAAAGTGAACCCGTCTAGATCCGGCGAGCATATGTGAGAACAGGTAACGTTCGAGCATGGATTTGATTCGAAACAAGTTATACGATCCTCCTCTAAAATCCAACCAGTTGGACAGGAACATAGATAGGAACCATACTCGTTGATACAAAAGTGAGAACAATCGTGATCCTCTTCCTCGCACTCGTTTATATCCTGACAGATATTATTATTTTGATCCCTTCGAAATCCATTCTCACATTTCTCATCTTTACACGTTAAACCATCTTCGAGTAGATTTAAACCAGGTGGACAAGTACATACATAACTACCATGAGTATTGACGCACTCGTGTGAGCAATCGTGCTCGTCCTCAAGGCACTCGTCCATATCCAAACACGTTTTTCCATCCTCTTGTAATACGTAACCCTCGTGACATATGCATCTATAAGTGTCGGCGTCTACTTCACAAGATTGAGAACAACCGGCGTTATCGCAGATATCCATTAAGACGCATTGAGTTTTGCTCGAGTTGAAAAACATTCCTTGGGGACAAGCACACTCGTAAGAGCCCATGGTGTTTTTACAATCGTGAGAACAATCGTCGAGATTTTCTAAACACTCGTCAACGTCGCGACACTCTCTTCCATCTTTATCGATTTTATAACCATTAGGACATAAACACTTGTAACCATTTTCCAAGTTAATACAATCGTGAGAACAATCATGGATACCTTTTGAACACTCGTCAATGTCATTGCAATCGAATTCTGTCACTAGCTCGTAACCGATAGGACACGTACAGAGATAACCACCTGAAACGTTCGTACAATTGTGCGAACAACGATGACGTTCTGTCTTGCACTCGTCCAAATCGATGCAACTTTTTCGATCGTCCCCAAGATAAAAACCATCCTGACAAACGCACTCGTAACTTCCGTGTATATTAATGCACAGGTGTTCACATCCATGATCTGACTCTTTACACTCGTCAATGTCCGTGCAATTGAATTTCTCATTTTCATGTAAAATATAACCAATCGGACATTCACATACGAAACTTCCCTCTAAATTAACGCAAGAATGCGAGCACATTGTATACGTACATTCGTCTATATCGATACAAGTTATTTTATCTTCCAAAAGACGATATCCAGGAAAACAACTACACCGTGGACCTTCGTTCTCTATATATTGACAATCCTGAGAGCATGCTGGATTCATGGACGAACAGGTTCTCTCTTCCATACATGTTATATTGTCTTCGTTCAATACCTGTCCCAAAGGACAACCACATATAAAGGAACCCTCGATATTGGTACAACTATGGGAACAGGGTAACGGTGATATCGTACACTCGTCGATGTCCTTGCAAGAAACCTCGTCTTCTTCGAGTTGATAACCGGAACGGCATACACAATGATAACTACCTTCCTCGTTTCTACATTCGTGCTCGCAACCGTGCGTTTCAATCTCGTCAACTTCCGCACACTCGTCGATATCTTAAAACAACGTTAAATAATTAACGAATAACACGATATATCGAAAGTTTAATAAATATTCGAATAACGAATAAAATTATACGAACCAATGCAATTCCCATTTTCATCCTTTTTAAAACCATCCTCGCATTTACCTATATCCGGTAATTCGGTTAAACTCTCGTTATAATCGTCCTCCTCATCTTCGTCCTCGTCGTCGTCGTCGTCGTCGTCGTCGTCGTCGTCGTCGTCGACCTCAGTATCATAATCTTCCTCCTGCAATACCTTCGTCATTTTTTTCGGTATATTTATACACCTGTAAGATCCTAATGTATTTTCACAATTGGTATCAGCTGGACAAATCGTGGATACATTTTCGCACTCGTTCACGTCTGAAATTTAACGATGTCCGTCGACAACCATATCCGAGGGAGAGAATGATCTCATTAAAAAAAAAAAGAAGAAGAAGAAGAAGAAAAAGGCGAAGGAGATAAAAATGAACAAAAGACAAAAAAGAAAAGAAAGAAAAGAGAAATCGTTATATACGATGAGTCCGCTATATTCCAAATATTTTACCTTGACAAGTCTTCCAATCGTTGGTCAAGTAAAAACCATCTGGGCAAAGGCAAAAGACACTTCCTGGTGTGTTAAGGCATACGTGAGAACAACCGGCGTTGTTATTCGCGCACTCGTCGATGTCCTCACAGGTATGGTTGTCCGACGCCAATTTAAATCCAAGGATATCCGTACAGCTACACTCGTATCCGCCTTCGAGATTACGACAGGTACCTTGACAAGGGCCATGTCCGTTGTTCGGCAGACACTCGTTAACATCTGTTACGAGATTTGTTAAGAGGACGGAAAATATGTAAAAATAGAGAGAGAGAGAGAGAGAGAGAGAGAGAGAGAGAGAGAGAAAGAACGTGATCATTCTTTCAATTTTATTTATTTCATATCTATTCATTTAATATTAATATTTCAATTGAATTCATGATAAAGTATTTCGTAATATAAACGAACAGCACATTTTATCGGTATAAATAATTAATCGTCATAGATATAACGTTTCAAGATCACGTTAATATTACATAATTATATTTTATTATAAATACTGGATCCATTTTGTTAAAACTATTGATAATGTAAAGTATCAAAAGGACATAATTATCAATAAATAACGATTCCATTTAGTTTTCATTTTAATCTGATGTGTTGTTGGAGGGACGTTAAAACGTTTCTATCGATGTTTCGTCGTATGATACGTTTGAAATGTAAAAGAGAAAAAAAAAAGAAAAAGAAAAGAAGAAAAGAAGAAAGAGAGAAGAAGAAGAAGAAGGAAAAAAAAAGAAAAAAAAACGAAAATATTGTAATGGCAAATAAATAAAAAGACGAGGGAGGAAAAATAATATAAAAGAAAAAGATAAAAGCATAAAAAAAAAAAAAATATATATATATATATATAAAAATTTTTTAAACATTCCAAACGAAGTATCTATATGCGAGTGTGCGTATGTTTGTGTATGTGTCTGTGTGTCTGTATCTGTCTGTCTGTCTCTTTCTCTCTCTCTCTCTCTCTCTCTCTCTCTCTGTGTGTGTGGGTGTGTATGTGTATATACGCGCAAGCATCAAAATGAAATCAATCCATCGCCAGCTGGAAACGAACATCCGACGGCACGCAAGCTCTTTACTCGCCAACAGCGAGAAGGTTAACCTCGTTGAAAGCTCGTTCATTCAACGAGTAATGTAGTTGAAAACGACACGATCAACGTTGTCAACTATCGTTAAACGAAATCCAACATTCATTGGTACGTACGTTAAAATAAAACATAGAGAAGATGAGAATAAAATCAGATCTGATAATCGCTTTCGAATAATATAACGAAATGAAAGATACCTTCGAACGGCTCAATTTTATTTATTTCTCTTTCCTACTTATATTCTTATTGATATTATTATTTATTTAATTTTCTTTCTTTTTTTTCTTTTTTTTTTTTTCTCTCTCTTTTTTTTCTTTCTTCCTTTTATACAATGACACAATGGACTAAGTCATTTTTATTATGTATATATATATATATATATATATATATATATATATTTCTTTTTTCCTTTATTATAACTTTATTTCTTCTTTTATCATTATTATTATTATTATTATTATTATTATTATTATTATTATTATTATTATTATTACTATTATTATTATTATTATTATTATTATTATTTTCTTTTATTTGTTTATACGTTAACTATTAATTATATATATATATATGTGTGTGTGTGGGTATGTACATATATAAAAAAACTTACCTTGACAAGTATGTCCATCGGCTGTCAACTGAAAGCCAGAATGACATTCACAGTGGTAAGAGCCAGGATCGTTCAGACAAAAATCTGAACACTTGGCAGTGTCCTCTGAACATTCGTCTATGTCTATGTAAAAGAAAGTATTTGAACGAAACGAAAAGAAAGATCAAATAATGAATAACAAAAGAAAATAAAAAAAAAAAAGAAAAAAAAAGAAAACGTAAAACAAAATAAAATGAAACAAGATGAAAAAGACAAGGTAAGATAAGTTATGGTTAAATGATATTTTTTGAAATTAATCATCGATCGTTTAACAACGTCGGAATGATTAAATTAATTATTTTAAGATAAATTGATATCACTGATTACAAGAAAATATTGATGCATATATATATATATATATATATATATATATATATATATATATACGCATTTACATACCTATGTACATACATACATATATACGAGTAACTATCTGTCGAAATGAATTATTTCCCTCTGTACATTGAATTCATTGAAATTCATTGGAGGAAAAAAATAACAAAAAAAAAATGAAAGAGAGAGAGAGAGAGAGAGAAAGAGAGAGAAGAAACGAACAAACGTTTAGAGGCTTGACGGTGATTAATGCTACCGACACGTGCCGATTTAACAAACGTTCGTACGATTGGTAACAAATTCGTACATACGTGTAAACTGATAATATTCCGATTAACGTTACACGATCGATTCCCGATTGTTTTTTTACACTTTAACAAGCCAATAAAATCATCAAAAGCAAGTCCGAAGGACATCATACTCGTGAAAAATACACACACGCATACACCTGTGTGTGTGTGTGTGTGTGCGCGTGTGTATGTATCAAATAAAATTTTAGAACGTGTTCAAAATAATATCGAACGAGGAAATATATATGCATGTATCTACGTAGGTGTATTGAAATTTATTTATAATCCCATAAAGAAAACCCATTAACGGATTTTATTATAAAAAAAAATATAGAAAATAAATAACCACGAGGTTTTACCGATGAATATCGTAATTTAAGATAGACTATCTCTATGTTCCATTTTCTCCTAATATTCGTACGTTTCATTAACTTTAAATTCTAATCTCGCGATTCACGTGTACGTTAATGAAAAAGAAAATTACGAGACTGTTGTCTGACATTTCGATATTAAAAAAGGAAAATCATTTCTATATCATTAAATTTAATTAACCTAATCTCAAGTACTTTACTCATGCCTTTTTCAATTTCTTCGACGTCAATTTTTTTCTTTTTTTTTTCTTTTTTTTCTTTGCTCGCGACAAAGAATACGTTTTCAAATACGGAAAAATTTTCTTTCTTAAGATTTTCGAGAATGAAAGTGTTATAAAAATAAATTGACTCACGAAATCCTGAGAATTATAGAGAAGAAATTTAATTATGCAATAATTTTCTACGAAATATCGAAAACTTTTTTTTCTCCTTTTTGATTTCTTTCTTTCTTCGGCAAGAGTTTATAACTTCGAATTCGTAAAGTGTTCGTAGTTGAAATTTTTCGAAAATAGAGAAAAAGACGATTTTTATTTCTTAAAGAAGAAGAAAAGAAAAACTGCACAAATTTTTGTCACGAAAGAAAGAAAAAGAAAAGATAATTGTAACTATTTGATACTTCAATAAATCCAATTAATTCTAATCGATCGAAGGAAAAATTTTAATTTTCTCTTCTCTTGATCCATCCTAATTCGTCGAAATTTATAATTTGAAATTTGGAAAATGTGTTCGTTAAATTTTTTCGAAAATTAAAAAATGGAAGAGGGAGTATATCGAGAAATTTTCTTTTCTCAAAAAGATATGACAATCACGAATAGAAAAAAAAAAAAACCAAAAAAAAAATATATATATATACATATATGTATATACACAATTATATAATTGAAATGTAATATATAATTATATAATTATGTAAAAATCTATAACGTATAATTATACAGATATACAATTATGTGTTAGAAATTTCGATCGATGAATAATCGACTGTGATCAATCGATTTTTCTTTGGTTTAATTTAAAGGGGGGGAAAAAGGGAGAATAGAAAAAAAAAAGAAAAAACAAAAAAGAAAGAAAATTAATATTACCTATACAGGCGGTACCATTGATTCGAAAGCCATCGAAACAGGAACACTTTGCACCAATCGGCGTATCCTCGCACACATGTTCACAGCCACCCCTCTCCTGATCGCAACGTCGCACGTTATCGATTATCGTTTCTAAAATGGAACGATATTGGTGATGTAACAAAAAAGTTTATCAAGCACATCGGATTCGAATTCGATAGAAACACGACTTTCCGTTATATTGTACGTTTTACCTTACGCTTTTGTAAAAGAAGAAAAAAAAACAACACGAAAAAAAAAGAAAAAAAAAAAAAAGAGAAGAAGAACAAAAATCCCTACGTTCTACGAATACGTAATAAAAACCTTTGCCTTTAATATCCTTCCAATATCTCACTATGAAAATAATATGAAAAACTTTTAAATTCATTTAAACGAACTTACGTGCATGCGAACTTACTGTATAAAAAAAAAAAAAAAAAAAAGAAAAAATGATCGAAGAAAATTTTCAAAAATTTCATTTTCATATCGACGTCTGCCAAATGCATATTAACGAAAAATATTTTTATATACCTAACGACCATGTTAAAATTTGATACGTCTACCAATTATCGAATTCTCGATGATATAAAATCCAATAAATTTCTTTTTTTTTTTTTTCCTTTTTTTTCTTTTTTCCCAACGTCCACATGTTATGATGATGACAAAATGTAAAAAAGCAAAAAAAAAAAAAAAAGAAAAAAGAAAGAGAAAAAAAAATAAATAAAAATAAAGAAGCATAAAGAAGGGAAAGACATAGGAACGAAACGAAAAAAAAAAAAAGGAAAAAAAAAAAAATAAAGAATACAAAGTTAAAAAGGAAATACAAAAAAAAGAAAAAAAAAAAGAAAGAAAAAAATAGAAAATAAAAAAGACACGAACTGAGTGAATCACGTATGGTACTATCAAATGTTCGTTAAAATCTGTCAAACACAATATCGGGGTAGAGCGTTTGTTCGTTACGATCAAATAAAACAAAATCAAATCAAGTCAAATCAAAGCGTATCAAATAAAACGAAAATAAAATACGTATGAATAAATATAAACGAAAAAAAAAAAAGAAAAAAAAAAAGAAGTACAACAACAATAACAACAACAACAACAACAACAACAAAACGTCGATTGATTTAGATAAGAAAGTTTTTCCTAACAGCAAACGGATCAATGCTAGAAGCTATCAAGGAAGTAATTATACTCTCTTATATATATCGAATAGGAAGAGGGATAAGGGATGATGGGCGAGGAGAGGGAATATAAGTGTGGAGGTAGGGGAAAGGATAAGATCACCATTTATCTTCTTGTCTAACAGCGCTCACCTCCTTTCTTCACGCATTTCGGTACAAGACCGAGCCAAGTTGCTTCACTGCAAAAAAGTCGATCCACCATCGAGTCCTCGAGAACGAACTCCTCGAGGCAAACATAAACTGCCACCAAGTATCGATTGAAAGGCGGTAAAGCGTTCTTTCTCCTATAAAAATACATTGGTTAATGTATACGCGTAACATTCAAAATGAATAGAATTTTTCTAAAGAGAAAAATAAATAAATTCATTCGTCGGCCATTGTACGCAAAATTCAATAATGACGTTAGTTATACGAATCTAAATGGAATAGGAAATATTTTCTTTTTTTTTTTTTTTTTTATGATTTTGTCTACTTCTTTCACAAGTTCGAAGTGTCTACTACGACGTCGAACCAACGAAGGAACGAATGAAAAAAAAAAAAAAAAAAAGAAGGAAAGAAAGAAAAATTCGACAGACATAAAAAATTCTCGTACTTACTGTTTCTTTTTTCTTTTTATCTTTTTCTTTTTTTTTTTTTTTTTTTTTATATTCTTTTCTTTCTTTTTCATGAAACATTCGAAATGATGGAAAATTGTAGAAAAAGAAAAATTCTTCGATTAATTCATTCACGATGAGATCATCAATGATATATATTTCAGATAATAATATTCGAATGGAATAGAAAATTGAAGAGAGAAAAGATACAAAAAATATAAAAAATTTCCCATTTCCTATTCGTTCCACCCTATATATATATATATATATATATATATATATATATATATATATGTGTGTGATATATATATATATATATATATATATATATCACAGAATCTTATACACAAAGGACAATTTCTTCGAGCAAACATATATCGCGAACTATCGATCGAAATATGCTAGAATAGTTTTCTTTTTTTCTCTTATGAAGTGAGTGCACACACACACATACACACCACACACATACATACATATATATATATATATATATATATATATATACGTATATATACGTGAAACATTTGAAATGTAAATAAAAAAAAATTGTAGATAAAAGAATTCATGGAGAAGGATAAACAACAATGAGTGTGTTTGAGTGTATAAACTTGAATACAATGCGAATTACTATATCGTTCATTACGTAACATTCGAAGTGTCTATCGTCAAACGAATGAAAAGAAGGGAGAAAAAAAAATGAAAGTACAAAAAAATTCCCCGTTTCTTTTCTCTTTTTCCTTTGTTTTGTTTTCTTCTTCATTTTTCTTTTTTTGTTTTTTTTTGCCCCACCCTGTATATATCCTACACGAAAAGGACAATTTCTTCGAGCAAAATAAAAATCGCGATCAATGTGTATCGATTGAAGGGTGATAGAACGTTTTCTTTTTTTTATTTTTTTTCTTTTTTCTCTTACTCCTATAAAATACACACGCTTATATATATATATGAAACATTCGAAGTGAAAAATTGTACGAGAGAGAAGAAAAAACAGAAAAAAAAAAAAGAAAAAGAAAGAAAAATTATTCGAGAACAGACACCAACGAGCCATGTTTCGTATAAAAACTCAAACGTAGTAAAAACGTAGTCGTTCATTTAATAACTTTTGAAAGTTTGTAAGTCGAACAAAAGAAAAAGAAGAAGTAGAAGAAAAGAAAGAAGGAAACAAATGTAGAAAAAAAAAGAAAAAAAAAAAAAAAAAAAAAAAGAAAAGATAGGAAAAAACTTTTCTTTGCCCTCTTTCTCTCTCTCTCTCTCTCTCTCTCTCTCTCTCTCTCTCTCTCTCTCTCTCTCTCTCTCTCTCTCTAGTCGTCCGAACCCTATAAATATATCTAACAAAAAAAGTCTTTTACATCTCTTCAGGAATATCTTTTATCGGGATATTACAATGCGAATAAAATAAAGTTGACCGAAGAATGAATAAAGTAAAAAAAAAAAAAAGAAAAAAAAAGAAAAAAAAAGAAAAAGATGCTCTTCTCTTTCTTTTTTTTTTTTCTTTCTTTGTTTTGTTTTCTCAAAACCGACCTAGCGTATCTCGGAGAATATGCATTAACGACCGTGGGTGCTTTGATAAGGCCCTTTCTGCGTGCCTTCATGAGACAACTTAGATCCAATCTCGACATCAAAGTTTCGTTCAAGCCACCGACATCCGACACCAACGACGGCTTTACTCCCGATAGAGACTTCTCCGGCATTTGCTTCCTCTTATCCTTCGTTTTCCTACGTCTCTTCAACTCGCCGAGTCTCTTCCGTGCTTGAACCCGTTGCTTCCTCGTCGTATCGCTTCTCAAATTTCTACTTGGCTCATCACCCATATATAGATCGTTACGAAAGTGTTGCAACTTGTTCTCTAAAACATAAAGGCAATCAATTAATTAATCTTATCTCGTTAACGAACAATTAATCAACGTTCCCGTTTTGGTTATGGTCGATTTTTACAATTTCTTTTCTTTTTTTTCTTTTTTTTCTTTTTTTTTTTTTCTTTTTTTTCTCTCCCTTCATTTCTATCCAAACGGACTCATTCGCTCGATCAAACTCAATAACGGATAAATTACGAAATTTGACCTATGACGTAATTCAATCGATCTCGTAGAGTTTTTCTCCTCTTGTTTTTCTTTTTTTCTCTTTCTTTCTTTCTTTTTTTCCTTTTCTTTTACTTATTATTTTTCCATCGGTCAAACTTCGTTGCCAAGCCAGTGCGAATAGTTCTTTTTCTTTTTCTTTTTTCTTTTTTTTTTTTTTTCCTCTTTTTTTTTTTATAACGTTTCAATCGAAATAATAAATATGTTGGAAAATAGAAAGGAAAGAAAAAATGAAAAAAAAAATAGGAGAAAAATATATAAAAAAATGAAAGATCAAAGTCGTGATATATTCTGATCTGAAATTATCGCAGTTTCGAAGAGGAAAAGAGAGAAGAAAAAAAGGAAAACAACAGAAACGAAAATAAAAATCGAGTCTAATATCGATATAAATTAAATTACTACGACGAGAGGGGCGGCGGAGGCGGCGGAGCGGAGCGGGGGGGGGGAGGGGATATTATCGTGGAGCTTGAGAAGTAGCTTCCTTCTTGGTGGAACGGCTAAGAAGAACTCTGAACTCGAGTAAAGCAAATGAGATTTTATCGCGATTAAACGGGTCGCTATTAAGGTAAACGAAATACCCTTATACGTATCTAATCTATGTGCGCGAGGTTTATTATAATTAGAAATCATTAAAATTAATTATAAGACAATGCAAATACGGCGATATATATAATTCAAGCTTGAATTTCATTGATTAAAAAAGAAAGGGGGAAAAAAGAAGGAGGAAAAAGTAATTGTTGTTGTCGTCGTTCTTTTTTGTTTTTTGTTTTCTTGCTTTAATATATGGCGGAGAAGAGGCGGGAGGGGCGGGAGAAGAGGAGGAGGAAGTAAACATCACACATGTACTAAAACATATATTGGATACAAAATAATAGGACGAAGAAGAAACGTAAACACGTATGTATATATATATATATATATATATATATATATATATATATGTTACACATACACACGCACACACGCACATGTACACACATACATATATACATATGTACAACTAAAGCTTCTACATGTTTGCAAAGATTGGACCCGTATAAGGAGTCAAGATCGAGACACGCGATAGAGTAGTCTTAAAGGGTCAAAGTGCCATGAGCTGAACATGCTCGTTTACGCGAACATATATATATATATATATATATATATGTGTGTGTGTGTGTGTGTGAGTATGTGAATGTATATACGCATATGTGTACTACTAGCACTAACTTCTATAAGATCAAGGTGAGAAGATGATTCACTGCTCGTGTCCTATCTCAAGCACCGTCGACCATACACTGTTTCCTCTGTTGCCAACACGTTTACTAAAAAGAACAACAGAAGGAAGTAGAAAACAACCAGAATAATGTCTATCCTTATCGATAACTCGATACATTAATCCCGATTTAAATGGATTCCTATAATACATAACCCGTGAAAATATTTTATTTATAAACGATAAATTTAATATAAATATGGGAAAGGAAAAAATTTATATATATATATATATATATCTTTTGTATATTAATATAGATAGAAGATTAATTTCAATAATAAATTTAATTTTAATGGATTTTATAAACCGTTAAAATGAAATAATATTTATCAACGATATAAAAGATATTAAAATTAAATAATAAATTTAATATCGAAACTTTGTTATTGATGATGATGAAGAAGAAGAAGAAGAAGAAGAAGAAAAAAGAAAAAAAAAAGAAAAAGAAGAAAAGAGATAAAAAAAAGAAGTACTTCATACTACCATAACTTTATTCTATATTTAATTACATCATTCCGATGATCAATGGGACGAAAAATAAACTACCTCATGTTGTAATACCTATAACAATTCAAAAAAAAATCTAATTTTATATATATATATATATGTATATATATTTTATTTTTTATTTTATTTATTTATTTTCCTTTTTTTTTTTTGTTTTTGTCCTTCACTATCTCGAAGCATAACTTTATAATCCACTCTATTATTAATTATTATTTTTGAGATATAATCGGTGTGAAGAGGAACAGGGAAGGAAGAAGAGGAGGATAGGTGATGGGAAAGGGGTGAAAGGTCAAGTAACTACTGGCGAACAGACGAAAATAAGTTGTGAGTGAGAAGAGACTAATTGTAAGTTAGATACGAAAGGTTAAAAAAAAATGTGCCTGTGTTAGTTCTCAGGAAGAAAGAAAGAGAGAAAAAGATAGAACATATGTACGTGCTGTTTCAACTATCCTCATAGTCTTTCTTGTTCTATCACTACCTCTCTCTCTCTCTCTCTCTCTCTCTCTCTCTCTCTGTAATTCCCTCGAGTGACTAGAACACACTTTTTGCTTGGATTAGCTAGACTCTTCTTTCGCTTCACGCTTCGGTTCTTAACTAATCGAAGGTAAGAGGGATTGATAAGCGTAACGCAAGAATAAACGATCAGGATTAACATGAAACTTACTGTAAAATGTCTGTCCATGTGTGTATGGATGTGCGTGTCTTGGTTTTTTTTCCTCTTCATAAACTTTATGGAACGTAATCGTCGTGAGAAATAATCGTCTTTGTTTTTTTTCTTCCCTCTATTTTTTATTTTTCATCATTTTTTTTCTTTTTTTATTTATTATTCTTTTTCTTTTTTCTTTAGTTTTTCTTTTTTAATCGCCTAACATTAAATTCAAGTCATCTTTCAAAAGATTGAGCTTTTACTATGATAACGAAATTATTAAATTATTAAAACACTCATGTTAATGTTACTCTCTCTCTCTCTCTCTTTAATTATAAATAATAAACATCGCATAATAATCGCATAATAAAATCGATAACGCTAACAATCTTTATACCGAGATATTAGATATAATTAGATATAATTACGTTACTTATATACCGATATAAGTAATATGTACGTATATCAAATACTTATACGTACATATGTACATATATATTCCTAGATATGTAAATATTTAAATATGTAAACATTAGTATATGTATTATATAATACATTTATGTATATATGATATTTATCTCTCTTGGGAGAGAGAGAGAGAGAGAGAGAGAGAGAGAGAAAAAGGATAGTTAATACTTATGGGAATTTCTGTTTTACCCTTATCAATATTCCTTCTTTCGATATGACATAGTCCTACGGAACGTATCAGGAAAAAACTGAAAATGAGAATTCGAAGGAGAAAAATTTGAAGGGGAAAAATTTGAAGGAGAAGGAGAAAGAAGGAACTTGGTTCTCGCACATCCTATGGAAAAATCCCATTAGGATCGTCCCTCAAGGATGCAGTTATAATCTGTCCCCTTGGACCGTTCGTTCAACATAACGTGTTTTCTATCTCTCTCTCTCTCTCTCTCCCTCTCTCTCCCTCTTTCTTTCTCCCGCTCCCTTTCTCACATACATAGATACATACAAACATACATTTTCTTTCCATCTATTTCTCTACGATACTTTCTCTCTCTTTCTTTCTCTCTCTATCTCTCTCCCTCTCTCTCTCCCTCTTTCCCTACATGAAGTTGGGTTCAGAGGGCCAACGTACCTGGTTACACGCATCCTCGGTTACGTATACTTGGTGCCTTGTTAGAATTGCCTTTTGCGAACATTTCCTCTCTCTCTCTCTCTCTCTCTCTCTCTCTCTCTCTCTCTCTTTCTCTTTCTCTCTCTTTCTTTCTCTTAACGGAACTAGCACACAGAAACGTTCAACGAAGAAATTGCATGCTTTCGAGCGTAACGCGCGTTACCCAGAAGCAGATCGCTTTTCTTTATACTTTACTCTCCATCTTCCTCTTTCTCTTTCTCTCTTTCTCTCTTTCTCTCTTTCTCTCTCTCTCTCTCTCTCTCTTTCTGTCTCTCTCTCTTTTCCTTCTCTTCGCGAGATCACGCTGCTTTTCTACCTAGTACTCGTCGATTTCCTATTATGATGATCGAGATCGTGATCGAGATCGATTTGCAATATTTTATGTTTTTTTTTTTTCTTCTTTTGCACGACTAATAGCAAAAGGGGAAAAGAAATGGTAAGAGGGATGGGATACTTCTCTCTCTTTGTACCTTTTTGTCAGTTCGTTTTTTTTATTATTTCGACTTGCGATAGATCCAAAACGAATCGTAGCTTTTTCACATTCTTTTTTTTTTTTTCTTTTTCCTTTACATTTGAATTTATTTTGCGTTTGAAAAAAAAAATTCACCAAGAGAGAGAGAGAGATAGATAGATAGATAGATACAGAGAGAGAGAGAGAGAGACAAAGAGAGAGAGAGAGAGAGAGAAAGGAAAGAAATGCCAATCGTTTAATACGAGAAATTATTTTTCTTCGAGATTTAGAGTAAATTAATGGAGGAATCTCAAGGAAGTAAGGAAGGATGGAATTGTAGGAAGGATTGGGAAGGGAAGTGCTCCGTTTATGCGCATTATGAGCGAGTCTTGTATACCTATTTGGTTTATCTCGATCTCGACGAATTCGTGGTATGTCAGACCGACGAAATTCGTGCCGTCAAAAGCACGTCGAATAGGTGGAGGAGACTGAGAAGGAGACCGAGAAGGAGGACTGTGGAAGGAGAATGAGGAAGAAGGAGGAGGAGGAGGAGGAGGAGAACTCGGTCGAAAACGGAGAACGTTCCTGAAGTGGCAGTTTAGCGTTCGTCCTAAAGCTATTACCTTCTGGACTTCACGACTTCCGAAAGATTCTTCCTCCCCATCGATCCTCGAGATCTTCGCTAACCTCTTTAACGTTCTCTACATACATATATATATATATATGTATATATGTATATTGTAATATAATGTAGATACGTAACGCAGGTACACGTAT